CATCTCCGAACGCATTAGCGCAAAAATATCTGCTCCAATGGCGAGACCTAAAATAACTAATTGAGCAGACAAGGATCCGAGATCTGCCTTCAAAAAGAACACCGAACAATTTCAGACAACTATTATCTGTGAATCAGACCTTTTTTTTCCAAGAAAAAAACAAAACAAAAAAACAAAACAGCAGGGGCTAAAGAGCACACAGACACCACTGCATATATGGATCATACAAGTGGCCAGGAAAACCAAATAACTGAGTTGCAACGGCCAACGAATGTGGGTGTACGACTGAGACGGCAACATTTGCAGATGGTGAAGACATACTGAGGAGATAGAAATAGGCCCTCTATTTCTCTAAATGAAATTTGCATATGTTTTCAGGGAAAACACCTAATTAATCACAACATCGCTTAATAAATCCACAGAGATCTGTCACATCCGAGTGGGAAATTGGAATCCTGTTGAAGAGGAGAATACACGAGAATGTGCTACAACTGGCGAGCATCAACATTAACAATCTATACAGCAGAGGCGGTGCATCATTGGTCCCAAATTCATTCTGCAGCAGGATAACGAGCCCAAACATTGCAGCCAGAGTCATTAAGAAAGAACTATACTCAGCGGCAAGAAACAATGAGTCCTTAAACAGATGGTGTGGCCCTCACAGAGCTGCCATCTCAACATCATGGAGTCAGTCAGGAGAGAACAGATGACAATGGGAGAGAGAGAAAAGCAGCGGTGGCTCCGGAGGAAAGACGCTTTGAATGAACATGAAGTACTTAGTAGGCTAGCACAAAATACTGAGGAAAGTATTGAGAAACACGTCGCATCTCGAAGATGCTTGTAAAAAAATAGGGCTGTCAAACAATTCAAAAAAGGATTAATTAGAATTAACAGTCAATCTTCATGAACCGTTTTATGCTAACTTGAGCATTACTGAGTTCAAAATAGTTCAAAATAACTTAATTTTGGACAAAAAAAAGTCAAATAATTACTTAAAGGATAAATAACCTAAAAAACTCAAAGGTACCATTTAATAGTTGAACCCCTTAACTTAGTGAAAAATTAGCAAATTAGAAAACAAATAATCGACATGTTAATCCTTAATAAGAGTCAGATAAAAGCTAATGTTCAAAACATATAGTTACATGCAAAATAACAAAGGTCTGATGTTGATAAAGTTGCGCACAGACACAATTCGAAGTGTGGGGTAAAAAAAAAACAAACAAAAAAAACATACAAGGTTTAAAGCTCAACTATTGAACAAAAGGAAGAACTCTACAGAACCTCTGAGACTTCTTTCGTTCTTCCATTTCTTTTTCATGTAAACCACAGCCTGTTGTGTATTGTGCGGTTGCCATGACAGTCACAGGGCGACCAGTGAGGAACAGAGGGCAGCTTCTCCTTCTGCTTTAAGTTGTTTTTTTGTGGCAGCTGTTTGCCAATCTCTCTGTGCCTGAGACCCAAGGATATCGCAGAGACACGACACAGAGGTTGGTAAAAGTTAGAACTTTCAACACATGCACACACGTTACCACCAATCACACATAGAAGTAGAAAAGAACCATTTTGAAATCAATTTTTTTTTTAAACTCAGAATACTACCTACTATTCCTAAGGGAATTTGCAGATATACTTAGACTTAAATGATAAATATGTAAAAGGAAGGCTTTTTTATTATTATTATTAACATAATTTGGGGTTGTTTTTTTTTTTTTGTCTTAAAGCCTGTTTAGTATTTTGACATCATTGAAATGTGCATTTTTATTTAATTACCATGTGTTAATTATAGATTTATCATTTAAGGTACGACACCCTAATGGCTAAAATAATACACTGCAGTTACTTGATTTACTAATGTTTTCAACACAGCCCCAGAAGAACAGCAGTTTATTCCTCTATGATAAAAGCCTCAAGTTGCTCTGGATTTGTTGATCATCTCAGCATGGACCTACGCCTGTCTCTTGGATTTAAGTCGGGCTTTTTCTCAGGCCAGTCAATAACTTTCATCTCCAGATCATTTGGAGATCGTTATTACCCTGTGTTAAAGTATCCTCCAGGTTACTGCAGTGATTGAAGACCAGGCTGACTGTCAGATACTCCCTCCCAGTTCTGAATGCACTGAAGCTTTCATGTAGCATTTTACTAAAACATATTTGTTTTATTTGGGGGATGATATTTTTTTTAAAGCCTGTTTAGTTTTTGGTCTTTTTTTTTTGCATATTTTTTTTGGTAAGAGACCTTAAAAATCAAACCCTTGCAAAAAAAAAAAACCAAAAAACAAACAATGGACGACTTCAAGTGGAGATTCTGAGCAGGAGATGATTTCCTTAGCAATTTATTTTTTAACTTTAATTGCACTTTGTAGTGAGACCTTGGAAAGAGTATTAAACTGACTAGTTTACTGTTTACTTACGTACAGCAAAATAAAATCTAAATTCCCACTTTGCCTTTCACAGCCTCTAATATTTTCATATAGGTTTTATTTTGTCAAAAGGCAATGGTAAAAATCAAATTAGCAGGAAGTGAACAGCTAAAAGAATGATTTGAATTTAGCATTTCAATTCATTTTATAGGGGATAATATAGAGATTGGATGGGGCTACTGAATGATTCAACCTCCTTTTCCCTAGTATTGCAGCTGCGTCTTTTTGTAGTTTATAAATACTAACAACTAAGAAAAAGTAGAAGGAAATACTTCTAGTCTGAAGCACACACTCAGGTCGTAACACGGAACAACAACAAGAACTCGTCAGAGGTGTTGTTACACGGCGTGTTTAACACTTGCAGGCGTTGAAGCCAAGATCTAAAGGAACCCCAAGGGACCAGTGCTCTGATGGCCAGCAGTGCTGACCCAGGAGAAGTGTGAAATTAAGTAGGAAACAGAGGCTTTTAACAGTTTACTTGTTAATGAGAAATGGTCTCTTCAAATTAATGAAATAATTGAAAAGCGACTGTTGTGAAAAACAAACAATCACGGCAGGTCTGTGACGACAGATGGGGCTGATAACGGATGGAAGTAACAACAATCATCGTTTTCCAGATTATCCAGAGACAACCATTCATCTTTGTAGGCTACAGAGAAAAATGACTACACTGGTTAAAGTTCATTTTTATTCAAACTAGTTTTTAACAAAGTTCTTCTCCCATTTCCTTATATCATTCTGAGGAAAAGGTTTTTTTTTGGGTTCCATTGCTTATCACCACCTCCTAATGAGTACACTGCTAATGGAGCAGGCATCCAGATTGAATAAATGAAATCCAAATATAAATCAGTGAAAATTTGCCTCTTTGGTAAATAAAAAAAAAGAGAAATTAAAATCTATTGCTTAGCTGCTTCCCATTGAAACAGAAACATGACCTTGGAGAGGGATCCCCAACCCTACTTTATGAACCACACCCTAGTAATAATGAAGAACAGTAATTAATGTATTCATTATAGCATTTTTTAATTGTCTTCTATTTTTGTGCTGTTGAACAATTTGATTTTTACCCTTTCAGTCCAGGTTTTCAGTCTGTTTTCTAAAGTCGACTCTTAGTTGTTTTTGGTGACAATCCTTTTAAAAATGACACTTCAAAACCTCAACTACAGTACATTCTGCAGCGTCGATTAATTTTCAAAAACCTGAGCTACATTTAACGGTTTTGAGAGTTATCACTTTAATACATATTTCAGGATAGTTGTGAAATGGGTCCAGTCATCTTCTTTTTTTTTTTTTTTTTTTTGAAAAATGCGGTTTTGTCAGCAAAGCTAGATAAGGCATGCTCCTTAAATCGGGTATGTTTGGAAAGGCTCGCCTCAAAAAAAAAAAGTTACTGTTACTTCCAATACTGTCATGACTTATTTGAGTCTAGCTGAAGTCTAAGAAGAACTGAAACAAATGTCGTCCTGATGAAAACTGCGGTACATTCTTTTCCTCGTTTAATAAAAAAGGAATTCTGAAATAACATGGTGTGTACATTGAGACTGCGTCTTCATTTGACTTTTAATGGCAAGTTGACATTAATACTGAGTTCTGCTAAAACTAACACAACCATATTAATACAACCTCTGAGGAAGACGCTGCAGCTGTAACCTTAGCCGTGTCTGCTTCTGTTTAATTGAGTGATTCAAATTAAAAAGGTATTTTTCACAATACTGGTTATGAATAAAACACTACTTTTTACTGTTTCTGGACAATGTCCAATATTTCAGGCATCTCCTGAGAACACACACAAAAGAATCAAACAGACGATACGCAATGAATTATAAACTATAGGTTAGATATATATATATTTTTTTTTTTTTTTTTTTTTGCTGCAAGAATGCACAGTAGATCCAGTCACGCAGAGAAAAAAAAAAAATCAAAGGTCACAATTCCTCTTATTACTGACTCCCAGCACAAAGTGACAGCGACACAGGAGATTTGAGGAAACACTAAAGCTGACTGCACAATAAAGATCATGTTCATGCTCCACCCAACCAGCTGCCTGCGCCTGACATGGAGCTCTAACCTCAGCATCTGCAGCTAATCCCGGGAGCACGTCAGCACGCTTCACTCCCCGCAAACACGAATGGAAAATTAGGAAGGTGAGGTCAATGTAAATGAATCCTCACTTCAGGCAAAAACATAAGCGCAAGAGAAATGCAGAATAAGGAGTCGATATCCGGCCCCGTCATTGATTCTCATTTGCTTTGTGCTTCCTCGTCACAGCTAAATCAAACAAAGGTCTCACGCTGCTGGTGCCTGACATGTGGCAGGGCAAAAGACTGCAGAGATCAATGTCCTGCTGCAGAACATCTAGTCCCTCATCGCCTATCACACCACTGCTAGTCCAGAGAAGGTCAAGCCCCAGCGAGGTCTCATGTCACCGATGGAAAGATGACAGCTGCCAATGAAAGAGCAACTGTTTGCCAAGAAGAACCCTGAGGCTTCATTTCAAAGAAAGGACTCCTCACGTCCCCTGGATTTGAATGTAATAACAAAGTTTTTAGAGAAAAAAAAACCCACACGGCATCTTTGATCTTTTTTTTTCCTCTTCTTCCTCTTTTTTAATCAGAACCTTCTTAAATAATTTAACTGTACATGTCATTTAACATGGGACAAACCCAAGCAAATGTTAGAGCCACTGAGTCCTGTTACCTTTGTTACTCTGGAAAAAGATACCCTTTAATCACATACAGTGCAAAGCTCCCAACCTCTACGGTTCATTATTAGGCCAGAGTAAAAGCATAGTCAACTCCATCAACCTAGTTATAAAAGGGAAAAGTATAAAACATAGAATTTTCATTATTTTGTGTACATATTTGCAACAGTATAAGAAAAAAACAAACAAAAACAAAACCTTAGGAAAAAAAAATCTAACAGAGATGGAATTTGATTTGAAAATCAGACCTGAGCATTCTGTAGCACTTCAGGCCATCATTAAAGTTTTATTCAATGTTATGAAGACTGTTAGGATTTAAAAGTAAAAATAAAACATTTTGCAGCATTATCACTTGCTATCCTTGCAGACCCAATGTGGGATTCAAGGAATGTGTATTCAAGGCTGCTGAGAGGCCAATAGCTACCTGATGAAGAATCCTTTTTGTGCCTGTTTTGTTTGTTTCAGACACAAGTGTCCTTGTCTGAACATTCCTAAGTGTTGTTTGGCCACCTTCCCTTACACGGTGTGCAAAACTGTTTTTATTCATCGTGATCAGTTGCAAAGAGAAATGCAAACGTCACCCAAAAATCCACAAGTGTCGAAACAGATTTTTTTCCCCCTACAACCCTCACCAAACTACACCTTTAATTTTAGTCACAGGAAAAACAAGCTGCTCAGAACCCAAAATAACCAACACCATCTACCTCCCCGTGTGTCATAGACTTCAAGATGAATACCTGAACCTCGTCCTACTGCTGCCTGAGCGCCTGTCTGAGAATCTTTGGCCTTGTGCAGTTTTTTTTTTCTTTTTTCTTCCTCCGATCCATTCTGCTAGCAGCTCCGGAGAACTTCTTTTCAGAGACATTTCTCCGGGTCATAGATGGAGCTGGAAGCATCTCATTGCACTCTGGAAGGTTGACCACCAGCAT